GTGAGCGTGTGGGCGTGGGGCTGGGGCTCCGGAAAGGGCTCCGGGCCTGAGGCCGCCCTCGGCACCCGCTGCCCCGAGGGGCACGTCTGAAGGGGGAAACAGTGGGGGTGGGTGGCCTGGCTCCTGGGGCCAGCCAGGGGCCCGCAGTGCCCGCGGGGGCGTCCCGGCCCCCAGTCCGCCGCGGTCTGCGTCCACCGCTCCTCCAGCACCTGCTTCCTCGCCTGGGCGCTGGCCTGCGCCTTGGGGGCCGGGCCCTTCCCGGGGCTGCCTGGAGTTCCCGTGACCGGTGGCTGACCGGAAGGGAGTGGCGCCCTCACTCCCTGGGCTGGCGGGGTGCTCGCAGCCGCGCAGGTGGGGGCTCTGGGCCTCACTGTGAGCCCCTGTTCCCTTTGGAATCGGGGTCTCGTAGGGGAGACGGGGAGCGGCGCAAATGTTTCGAAGGGTGTTGAGGGGTTTGCCTGTCGCGGAGACCGCGCGAGTTTGTCCCCACTCGCCCGCCACTCAGTGTCGTCCTGCTCTGAGAGGACCCGTGTCTCCAGGCCCGGGCGCTCTTGGGGACCGCCCTGGCGGGGCGCTCTCCCTGGGGAGCTGTGCGCGGCCTCTGGCCTCACTGTCCTCCCTGCGGGCCCGCGGGGGCAGAGCCCGGAGGCCGGGCGTCTGTGCCTGCCTTGGCCAGTGTGTCTGGGAGCCGCCGGCCCCTGCCCACTGTGCACGCGGCGCGGTCTCGGGCTCCCGACGCGCTGCTGTGCGGAGGGGTGGGGGTCACACACAAACGGCCATTTCCAGAGGGGCCGGGGCTCCCGTCTGCTTTCAGGGGTGCCGTGCCTCACTCCTGATGCGGCGAGGAGCGAGGACGGTGCAGGTGATGTTGTGGAGCTGGTCCGGGCCGTATCCACCCCCCACCCCCCGAGGTGCCCGGGATGACCCGCCTCCCGCTCCCCCTGCTCCTGTCACCCGCGGTCCCCACGTGGTGTTGAAACCCTCACGCCAGCACCTTTGAGTGTGACCTCACTCAGAAGTGGGTGTGGCGGCCGGTGAGGCTGAAGTGCGGGCGCCTTGCCGCAGCCTGTCTGGCAGGGCTGAAGTGTGTCGGGGTTTGTCGGGGTTTCCTTGGGGGCGGTCACTGCACGGAGGGCTGGCCTCGTGTGTGAGGACCCGCGGGGGGCGGCTCGTGGCCTGGCTGTGCTGCCTCTGGGTGACGCCGGTCGCCGGACTCCACTGCACCTCCCGCCGCTGTGGCGTTTGTTAGAGATTTGCTTTACGTGTGCACACGAGCCGGGGTGCACGCCTGAGGTGGGGGTGGTGAGAGGGCTCCCCAGAGACAGGGCGGAGAGCAGAACAGGCGGATTAACTGAAACCCCTGCCGAGGGGGCAGTGGGGAGACAGCAGGGGTCTGCGCGCTGGGGTCCCCCCCGGCTGGGGATCGCGCTCTGCCCGCCGCGCGCCCGAAGTCCCCGCTGCCGCCTTAACACGCCCCTTCTCTGCTGCCTTGCAGGAAGCCCGGGCCTGCATCTTCGGAGGGCCGCCGTGCCGCTGGGGGGGCCCGGGCAAAGCCTGGCCTCCAGCCTCAACGCTGGCCGGCCATTCAGCTCCCAGGCAGCCGAGGACCCGAAGGAGGCGCCCCGGCGCCCCCTCGTCAGCAGCACAGAGGCCGTGCAAGGTGCTGGGCGCAGGGCCGGCCTCGCCGCGGGGGTGCCGGCAGGACTGGGCGGCCCCGGCACCAGCCCCTCGGGCTTTGTGACGGGGCAGCGGGAGCTGGGGCCAAGGGGCGGTGGGGTCTGGCTGCTTGGCGTCCTGAGGAGATGCTGGAAAGCGGCCCTTGGGGCGGGCGCGTCCCTGCGGGTGCACAGAGGCCGGCCACACGCGCTCCCGTCGCTGTGCTGCAGGACACTGGCGTGTCTCTTTCCCCTTTTTTTTTTTTTTTAACAGAAAAGCAGAGGTTTGTCGATGTGGGGAAAGAGCGGGAGGCCCGGCCTGGGCGCGTCCCCGCGACAGACACCGGCTTCCTCTCCGCAGGCTCCGCCTCCAAGCACGAGTTCCAGGCTGAGACAAAGAAGCTTCTAGACATCGTTGCCCGTTCCTTGTACTCAGAAAAGGAGGTAGGGAGCGTGCCAAGTCCTCGGAGCTGGGGGGAGTCGGAGGTGCTCGGGGCGCCCCGACGGTGCGCCCACCTGGCGGGGCCCCGTCAGCGGCCTGGGAGAGGATTCTCACCCAAGGCCGTGTGTTTCGTGGGCAGGTGTGTCCAGGCGACTCTTCGGGCCAGGCTGGCTCTGGAATGAGTTTCGCTGGTGATTTAAAGTCCCTACAGACGCTGGCCAGCCGCTGCCCACCCCTGTGGGGTGCCCATGTGTGCCCGGCCGCGCTGGCCACCTGTCACCCGGAGCCACGTCAGCACTGGGTGCCCACCCTCGGTGCTGAGGGGAGCTTAAAGGTCACCTAGGGGTGACAGGCCGAGGCACAGTAGAGAGGGACAGCGGGCTGTCACTGTTTGCACGCCGGTGTCACTAGAAAGTAGACAGCAGTTTGGAGGCAGGTACAGCGCACGCCAGAGGCCGCGCCTGCAGGAGGCGCCTCAGCCTCGCGCTGGGGAGCCCCTCTGTCCAGCTCACCTGTGCCACTGGCGTCCCTGCCCAAGGGGCCGCGATCACCTCGAGAGGACCAGACTGGGTGTTCTCTGCCCGGGCTTGGGGAGCAGCCAAGCCCTGGGGTGACACGGCAGCCTGCAGACCCCGCCTGGGGCTCGCGGCTGCAGCGTGAGCCTCTGCCCACGCCCGCAGGTGTTCATCCGGGAGCTGATCTCCAACGCCAGCGACGCCCTGGAGAAGCTTCGCCACCAGCTGGTGTCTGCGGGCCAGACGCTGCCGGAGATGGAGATCCACCTGCAGACCGACGCCGAGAAGGGCACCCTGACGGTGCAGGTGCGTGCGGCTGGCGGCCGCTCCGTCGGCGCCCTGTAAGGGCAGACCCCCGTCCGGGGAGACGAGAGCAGGGGAGGCTGGCAAGGCGCACTCAGAGCCGCCATTCGCCGACAAGTGGCCGTTAGGGCTTCAGTTTGTGTCTGCTTAGGTTTGAGGTCTGTTGTGTGCAAGCGTGAGCATCTCTCCCGCCCCACGGGGCGGCTTCATCATCTCAGTGGGCATAGGCGAGAGCAGGGCGCTGGGCCGGACAGCGGGCGTGCGGAGACGCTGCGGGCCGGCCACCGGGCGTCAGGCTGCGGTTGCCAGGCGACCTGCCTGTCCGAGACACGGCCCCCTGGCCGTCGGGGCCAGGCCTCTCTGGCCGCTCATACGGCCTTTCGGAGATGCCACGTTAGCGTGTCGGAGCAGGAGGGGTCACGGGGTGGCCCGGAGGGCTCCGTGCCCCCGCCAGCCCCGCAGGACCGGCGCCAGGCCGCTGTGGCATTGGGGCGGACACTGCCCTGGGGCTGGCACGCTTCTCTGGGCGGGGGTGTTCCCGCCTGAGCCTGCCGGGCACTCTGGGGCGCTCGCTCCCCCGGGTCTCGGGGTCCCCACTGCTGCTGTGGCCCCCGCTCCATTGAGGCGTGAGCGGCACACGTGACAGTCACCACCGCAAGGGCCCAGTGGGGAGATCTGACCCGGTATACACCTGTGTGACCAGAGCGTCCTGGTGTCACGGCCCCAGGCCCCGCCCCTTTCCGGCCTCCTGAACCAGAGGCGCGCGCTGTACCCCAACAGCATTGCCCTGCCCAGCTGCCTGCCTCGGCTCCTCTGGGGTGGCACGCGGCGGCCCCTCGTGGCTGTTTCTGCTTTATATTTG